GTGCCCAGATCCTACGACAAGACAGTGGCAGTGTGTTCAGCAGAAAAGGTTCCTGGAACGCTTGGAAGTCCGCAGGTAAAGTCCACGCTGCCACTCCTATGGGCCCTGTGAGGCGTGAGTCACCAGTGCAGCAGCCAATTCCACTCAGACCTGCAGCCCCGCCGTTCACAGGCCTGTCCAGCCCCGCCAGGCACAGCAATCTCAAGGCAACTCCTCCCACGATGTCAACTGCCCCCACCTCCAGATGGCACCAGCCTGGGGCTGCCAAGCAGGGGGCGCATGGGTCCAGACAAGCAGGGGAAGGCCACGGCCCACTGCACCACGGCTACCCAAGGACCACAAGACCCTGTCTCCTGATCAAGGAGGAACCAAGGCAGAGAAGGCTGAGGTAGAGCAGACTCGGGGAGAGGCAGAGAGAGAGGTGGGAGGGGCAGAAAGAGTCTCATCCAGAGAAAATCACCAGCGGCTCACACGGAAAGACGTCCAAGGCAACGACCACATATAAAGGGTGATCCCATCGAAGGATGATGGAAATAAAATGTCTCGAAAAACAATTTGGGGGAAATAGAAAGACAGCCGATCTCTCTGGGAGGCTGGGTGATGGGGAGGCAAAGAAGAGAAACGTGCCTCATTGAAACTGTTTTGAGAATAAAAAGAAACTTAGCCGAGAGACTGCGGGAGGGAGGGAGAGGAGGCTTTTCATTTCATGCTGAACCTCGGTGCCTGCATCTTTAAGCTTATAAACATCGACAGCGTTCTGTTTTGTTTTTTAGCATCAACGGAAATTAACAAGGAGGAGAGATTCCAGGCGTGTTTTGTGTGTCTTTGTGTCCACCGTATTCAAAACAAAGAGACAAATGCTATGTTTTAAAAAAAAAAAAAAACTGATCCAAGTCTCAAGTCGGGAAGGACTGGGTGTGAAGCCTGCTTCTGCCTCTCGCGAGCTGTGTGACTCTGGGCAAGTGAGTTACCTTCCTTTCCTGAAGCTTCATTTCCCCCGTTTTTAAAATAGAAATGATAACAACCACCCACCTCATGGAGCTGGCGTGAAGAGTAACTGTGATAACTTAGGCAAAATACGCAAAGTGTCTGGCGCATAGCAAGAGCTACACACCAGGTAGCCATTTGTGTTATATTATTTCTTTAGTCTGAAATTTTTTTTTTGTACTTGTATCATCAAAAAGGCCGATAAAGAGAATTGAAAAGAAGCCAAAAGCAACACCACCAAGCTAGTCAGTTTGCAATGCACTATCCCCCCCGTCTCTCTCAACCCCACATTCTACTTGAGAAAGGAGAGTGGAGAGCCCATCTCTCTATTTATTTTGTTTTTTAGGAAAATTCTGCCAACTCTATTTTGTCCCCACCCTTTGACCGACTGCCACACCAACACAAGCAGGCTTGTCAGCGGTGGCGGCAACGGTGGCAGCTGGAAGTTTCCATTTGCCGACCAGAGCAAAGGTTACACTATTTCTGGCCTGTTGGCCAAGCCACAGGAAGGGCAGACGGGCCCCGGGGGGGTGGGGAGTTTCTGCAGCACCTCCACAGGGACGGGCTCAGGTTTTAGCTGCTTGAGGTGCTGGGGAGGGTCACTAAGCCTAGGGAGTCACTTCACTGTGCCTGGGTCCCTACTTCAGCCCTACATCCCGGACCTCGAAGCACCTACGAATGTCATAGAGCTTTGCAGGGCGAGACCATGGAAACGGGTTGCTGGCTGGAGCTTCTCAGACATCCTCAGCAGATCCGCTGACCCCAGGACTCGGCTGCAACCACAACCCAACACCCCATAATCAAAATTCAAGAACAGAGCCACCGCCCAGCTCAAGGCAGTTGGTTTCCGACCCTCTCGATTTAACTACCAATGCCTCAAGTCAGACAACAACAACAACAAAAAAAAGGATTCTCTGGTTTCTTTAACTGTTCTCGTACCAGACCTGCTTTTCTTACAGAACTTACCGATAAAAGGACCATGTGATTCAGTTTTCAGAGGAACCACATAAAAGGGGCCAAGAGAAACCTTGAAGCCCAAGTCTATCTCTGAGGTAAGAGCAAGCACCAGGCCCGTGTTCGGATCAGGATGGGGGGCCACGTGCCACCCGGGCCCAGGACTTCCGTCTGCACGAGGGCACATGAGTCTCCCACACTCCATCGTGCCCTCCATTTGCTCATGTCCCTTCGAGGTGGGCCCTCCCGTGCACGGTCTTTCTTGGGGGGTGGGGGAGCAGGGCGGGGGGCTCTTGGCAACACACCCAGATAACTCTGGCCCTTCGTCCCCTGCCACCGCCTCGGTGGCCCTCGCCTGGTTTGCATTCATACTTTTGTGATCATGTGCTTGCTGTCTGGCGGCTCCGCTACACTGTCGGGTCTATATCTCTTCTTTGCTGTGCGTCACCACCTAGCGCAGCACCTGGCACATAGTAGGCACGTCATAGATACGTGTGGACAAATACATTCATTTAAAAAGTGCAGAGTCTGTGTGGTCCTGAAATGACCCAACACTAGAGCTGCGCGAATGCAGAGATCTTTAAGGAGCTCATTGCAATCAGAAAAAATACAGAAGATCAGCTAGAAAACTCATGGTAAGCCCTGGAGTGGAATATTGTACAGCAGTTTAAATGAATGAGATAGTTCTATCTACACCGACATGCGTGAAGAAACCATGAAGATTTACTGTTGAGGGAGCTAGCCACAGAATAATATGTGAAAGTAAATAACAAAAATTGTATAAATATAATTCACTGAAAAGATAAATAAACACCAGACTCTTAATGGTGGATTTCTCAAAGATATAGGAAATATTCAGTTTCTAGATATTACATCTCTGCCCTGCGTGAGTGCTTTACGCCATATGTTGTAAAGCTTATCGTGTTTAGTGGTTCGGATCGCAGCCTGCTTTGTGGCCAGTAGCATTTTTGCCTCTCTGAGCATTCATCACTGCATCCTTGAAACTCAGATAAAACAATAACTGTGTCTTGAGATTGTCATGAGGACTGACGTGAGATGCATAACACACGGCACAGCGCCTGGCACGAACTCCGTGTGCAATAAATCGTAGCTACTGTTAGTGCTATCGTGACGCATCACTTCTACGATCAAAGAACCCAAGCTTCGGTGAAGCCCTCTGTCTAGCTTTGGATTCCCGCTTTAAATGAAGAAATACAAGTAC